TTCCTTTTGTAACGTTATTATCTCTATTTCTGCATAAGCATTTTTTGCTTTTTTGTCATTCTCCAAGATCTATGTCATTTGTTATGCTGTTTCAAGATGGTAATAGACTCTTCTCAATGAGCAGACTCCATATTATCTCTAAATAACAACAACTCTGAAGTAACAATAACAAGGAACATAGTGCTTGTCTTATTTTATTTTTACATTATTATTTTTTCTGTAACACACCTTGTTCCATTGCTCAGGGTGGGCAGGAATAGGATCCTGAGCATGGAAATAGTGTCCTCTTTGGAGCAGATACTCTTCCAGCCATGACTCACCCTCATTTACCAGTGGAAATAATGCAAGGACCCCTTCATCTATGCCCACTCAGTCAAATCTCCCTGCAAGAGCTTTATGCATTCAGCCACATTTTTCATGAAGGCACATTTCTGTCACCTCAGCCCTCAGCCAAATTTTTCCATGAGAGCATATTCCCCTCACCTAGCTCTCAGCCAATTTTTGTCATGATGTGATGCTAACATCACTTAAATCCAATGGACTAATGATATCCTGATTGTAAAGTCTTCATATTTCTATTGCATATTTTGTTATGTTCTTGTTAACCATTCAATTGACAAGAGAATTATACATGTACACATTCCTATTCATAATGAATATTGATAATGGGAGGAGAAAGCCTCCTGTAACATATTTTAACTTACTTTTAACTAAACTAAATGGTTATACTTCCCATTTCAGATCTTGCTGGAAGCAAAACGGGCAGCTCACATTAGCAAATTTGGAGAGGATATCCCAGGCTCATAGTGAAATTACTTGTATGTCAGATAGAGAATGAATGTGAAAAATTGAGATGAAAATCAGTCTTTTTTAATAATGTATTCAGAGAAAACTATAGTGAAGTTATTGAATATTTATTGTATGCAACATAAGTGCAATGAATATTTAGTTACCAAATACAGGAATGGTACTTTGAACAGCCATCCATGTGCCAACATTTCTTTAAAAGGAAAGATCCACAAAGCATGTGTTGGAACAGCTGCTTTGAAAACTTACTAACCCAAAGCTTTACCTCATTTTTAATCATGCTAAGAATAATAAGGATAATACAATAATGATAATAATAATATTGTTCAGTTTACTCCAGTACCAAAGGTCTTCAGTTTTGTAAGAATGCCAAAGTCATCTTTCTTTTCTTTTTTTTTTACACTATTCACATTTTTTTTTATTGGTTTTCTCTTCCTTATTGCCCCCTAGCCTTTCTCTCCTGAATACACAAGGTTAATCCACACTATAACTACTTTTCTGCAAAGTTAATCCACTTTCAAACCACTTATTTTTCTACATTTTAGTTGCTCACATTCACATGAACCTAACTAGTGTTGAACATATAATGGATTTTGGTGATTACGGTTATGAATATTATTATAGCAGAGTACATGTGTTCAAGATTCATAATTATTAAGGTGTAATTCATGATTCATTTTAGTTCAAGTTTAGATGTAAGATGCTTTATTACATGAATGTCCAAGGTTTTTTTTTCACAGAAGTGCCAGGTTAGGCTGTGTGACTTAAGCAAACATATATCTCTATGTAGAGGTTGGTTTAGTTTTGAACGCTAAATTGAAATAATTTTCCGTCTTGTTTTGGTTGTACTGTAGCTTTAAATGTATTTATTCATAGTCTTATTTTCTTGTAATTACCATTCAAAAATAGTATTCTAATATATTGCATAAGGAACTTGGTTAGAGGTGGCCTTGATAAAGATGTAAGGAATTAGTTTGGAGTTTTATAAATTTTATATGGTGAAATTTATATTAGGTAATGAATGTAAATGCTCAGAGTTTATTTATGTTTATAAAATACCTGTTTTCCTTATAGCTTTACATATAAAAATGGGTGTCTTACAAGCACATGCCTAGACATATCCACACCCAAGCACATGCACAAGCATGCTCATGCACAAGCACATGTGCACATGTCAACCCCACATGTGCATACATACACAGCACACGCACACGCACACGCACACGCACACGCACACGCACACGCACACGCACACGCACACACACGCACACACACACACACACACACACACACACACACACACACACACACACACACACACACACACACACACACACACACACACATACATATATACACATACACAGGATGTATATTTCTGTTTTCAAATCGGTACTTACAACCAGGAAAATACTATGAAGCTTTGGTCCACATAATGAAATACCTGTTTCTTAGTTTTGCAAGTTTTAAGACACAACAATTAACTTTCACTTCAGTTTAAGAAGAGTGATTATTGCAGTTAACACAATGATATTAACTTGAAATACTCCAGATAAACTTAGTGAAATTTATACATGTTAAATAAATATATTCGTCTTGATGAAGACCTAAATAGATATGCACATCATGGTACATTCCAAAAAACAGATCAGTTTTCACTGCTAACCAGAAGCCTGCCTGCTACATTTAATTCACTTTACAATCAATAATTCCACAGGCCGGTGCATATTTGTAATGATTCAGTCATCATATTAATTGCATGTTTTATATTTTCAAGAAATATTCTGCCCAACTAATATCTCCCAGAATAGATCTTCAAAGTGCAGCTTTTAGTGCAAGTGATATTAGACATGTAATTTTGCTGAGGACTCTCCCTGGTGACAGTTTTAACTTGGGTACTAAAAAAAGAGTAATTAAAGTCCTCCAGTAATAAAAAAAATCCAAAGTATTTACAAAAATATACTTGTATGATGGCTTATTCAAAACATGATGCCATTGCTAAAATTAGCAGATTATGTTTGATATATATATGTAGGTAGAACCAAAATGTTTTATTGAGTTCTGTCAAGCTTTTCATGTTACAATATTAACTGTGATATGAACCACAATCATAAAGAGGCTCACTTCTTAATTGCTATAATGTTTTGCACTAATTGCTTTTCATCTCAAAAGAAACAAAAGTTCATTTTTAAAGTATTTTCATAGAAAATAATTCCATTGGCATATGCACATGCTTCAAATAGATTTTGTTCAGAAAGTGTAAGAGAAAAAAAGGTGTTTACTGCTAGCAGGCCTCAAACATTGTGATCAGTAATATGATAGGTTCAACCCATTTCACTAGTGTAGTGACATATTGCCTTGCTATAAATTAAATTAGGTTAATGCATCAATGCCTTTGCAAAATACCTAGTCTATAAAATGGTCTTGAATGAATGGAGCTTTTGACTTACTGATAATACTGCAAATATGGCCTTCTTTGGACATTTTTGTAGCACTATTTAGTTGCACATTTTTTTTTTTTTTTAATATGATAAGTAGGCATTAATGTAAAATGACCAAACAAAAAAAACAAAAATTAAGGTCAGGCAATTTAAAAACTCATGATAATTTTCCTCACAAGCAAATACATGGCTCAACTTATTTTGTAACCAAACCACAGCATAACCAAAGTGCAAAATTAATCAGCATTTTAAGTCACATTTTCTCAGGATTCCTTTTTATATGCTTTTCTGATTATTTATTCATCTATTGGTTAAGGAAAGTTCAGTGATGTTATTGGTAATGAAAACCTTTTATAAGGGGACCGTCCCTGAAAAAATGCCGCTTTTCACTTTTTTTTTGTTGAGAAATAGTAAATGGTTTACAGATTTTAGTGAAATTTGGTAGGATGAAAGAGCACTTTAGTACACATCTTTATACTGAATTTTATTTAATTTGACCAAAGGGAATTGTAGGCGCAACGAAAAATTGACTTTTTAGAGTTAGGTTAACTCTAGCCTTCTCACGTCCCAGAGTTATCACTTAATATTCTATATTACTTTTGTTGAGAAAACTTCTAGGGCATATAAACAAAACAACGTATTCCAATTTGAAAATTCAATAATTTGTTTCAAAATTTTTGAATGTTAATTTTCAATTGATTTTCCATATTTTTTTTTTTGCTTGCTTAATGACTACTTTTTCATACAAGAAAAAGCCCAGCCATTGCCCTTTCTCTTGTTCTTTATTTCATTCAGATCAGATCAATAGTTATTGCACAGCATCACAAAATACAATATAATATAGCACTGAAGTCATCCAGCGCCATAACTATGTGGTACACGTGACCATAAAAATAACGTAGTATTACGTCCACGCACTTCTAAACTCCTTTTTCTGCCCTCTATGCCTCATATTACCCTCCACTTCAGTTGTCCCATTTTCTTATCCCCCCCCCCCCACACACACACACCGAAAATGGTAAAGTAGGGAAGATAACTCCTTTGGCATATCCCTTCGGAGAGTATCATGGGCTACCAACCCACTCCTTGTCGCCAAAGAAGGCAGACACAGCACACATTCATGCACTCAGGTGCACACTCATATACTCGTGTGCAAACTCATGCACTCGCGCGCACATACTTTTACCCTCCTGTGATCCATTTCAATAGGTAATGTCAAAATACAACTCGACGTTGGTGCGCCACCATGGCATAAGTTCATATAGGTGAAAATTGGGGTTAGGCACTCATTTGACCACCTAATTTTTCTTCGCGCGAGTTCATATTCACGTGGGTAATTCTACAGTAGTATACAAATCTGAAACAGGGCATAACTCATTTTCAACCCCCCCCCCCCAAACCCAGGGACGGCCCCCTTAATGAAAGCAAACATACAGTTATCATATTTATTTCTTCCTCTTTTACATATCTTTTGTTTCACATATTTCACAGTTTGCATCCAAAAAGTCAATAAAAATTAAAACCACAAAATACAAGCGTATATAGCTGTGATAGATGTCATTGGTGTAAATAAATTATTTGTTTGCTAAATTGGTGTTTATATAGTAAAAGTGACAAAATCATACGATACAGTAAATATATTTTTACTATAGACCGTTTTCACGTGACATCACGGCATTATTCAAAAGGAGGCTTCTGCCATTTTGGTGTTCCACTTTTCTTTACATCGTGTTGTTTTCAATGGCGAAAGAAATTTTTTAAAATATATATATATCAGTCATGTCGACGTCGGAAATCAAAGAAAACTTTACAATATCGTTGTCTGACTACGCTAAGGAACCATGTTTTGAAGTGTTACATGGAAAAAATCTTGTGTATCGGCACCGATCCGCTGTTAATTCTAGAAAGCAGTTTCGATCCAGAATGTTTGCCTCCTGTGGAAGCCAACTTACTATCATATCTCATACTGGATACAAGTTATTACACAAAGGCCCAATTCATAGCTTTCAGAAGCTTGCAAGCATACAATCAAATGGCAAGGCCTTTGAATAAATACTGAAGCTCATCAGTATTTGTTGCAGCATCACAAAAATTTATTTCTTCACTTACTTCAATACATTGGCCAGGATCAACAGTGAAGTCCAAATCTGTTGCTTCACTTGAGGCTACAATTTCCTCCCCCTTTCTTGACATTTGTAGGCTATCATCTTCCTTAAATCTCTTTGCTTGAACTTCATGTTTGTAATTATCAGTTGCATGTTTATACCTCCCTGCAACCCTCGCAGCTCTTTCTTCAACATTGGCATGATCTTTTCCCAGAGTCTTTGAGTGCCCAAGCCTCAGTGTCAGTACCCAATCAACATTATACCTGTTCCAGACACAAAATGTAGGTTACAAACTCGATCATTTGTCAGTTTCTTTTCAGTCAAATCATCTCTACTTAATGCCGAGATCCATCGCCACCTTCTCTCTCTAGTCAACTCTTCCATAGCCTCACCTTCATTAGTAATGATGGCAGGAACTCTAGAATAACAGAGGACATGACTTTCTTCACTATTAGGCCCATTTCCGTCTTCGTCCTTCTCTTTCTTCTTTCTACCGCACTTTCCCAAATTTCTACCGCAATTAACGACCAAGCAAAGCACCATCCCTTTATCTTATCTCTAATCTTGTCTAAACTAGCCTTCGATACACGAGCAGCAACGTTAATTGTAAGTTGAAAGTCAGAAACGAGAGGTAGGCACTTACGCGCAAGAGTACTTGAGTAGCCACGTTCATTTATTTGGAACACCGTAATGGGGGACAACAACCGTTGCTATGCGTATGGTCACGTAGGTGAAAACGATCTATATCAGATAAAAGAAAAAAATACCAATAGAAGTCTTCCCCTACCCTTGCATTTACTCGCTGATTACTAATATTGTACATTTTAATCTTTCCAGATAGTATAAAATGATCAATTTGGTTATCACTGATTAATCTGTAAGGGAAATAGACTTGTATCAGTGCCTGTTCAGTGACCAAATAAAATTATTATTGCTTAACCTTGATGAAAGTTTCCATAAAAAAATTAAATAAATCTAGTCTCTTTCCAATCCACCAGTAACCAAAACAGTGTCATATGGGTATATATATACATACCCTATACTACTATTTACTTTGTTCTAAATGTTGCCAAGAATCAGCTTTATTTTTGGACTATCAACACCTAAATGCACACTTTTTACCAAATTTTCCTCCAAAACAATTCCTTTGTACTCTTACACATTATTTTCAGGAATTGCACTTCACTTTTTATTACTTATATATGAATCAAACCCAAGATTGACATCTGGCTGGTGTTTAGATTGGAGAGACTATTTTGTCAACTGTCCTCTATTTATAAACACATATATTACAAAATGATGATTAGTACTTTTTTTACACTAAAAATGGATATGCATATGTATGTAAAATTGTATTAAAATGTGGTAATATTACATAAAAGAAAAAATATAGAACATTTCACATACAAGGATAAGTGAAAGTGTATGTATCTTTCACCATAATACTTTTACCACCACACCTCTTGTAATGGGCACTGTCTGTTGAACCTTTATTTGAACTGCTCAAATTTCTAAACTCTCTATAATTTTCATAGACATCCCTGTACAAGCTTTCATTGTAGTAACAAGTACATGGGTTCACCAAGCAAACTTCACAAAGCAGACAATATGATACAGGAATGCTAAAAAATCTTGCCATTAAAAATGGTGAAATATACACCACCACTTCCTGGAATATCAGGTTTTATTGCTTATGGAAACCTTAAGGAAAATCTCAATTTTTATATTGTATAAGTTTGCATCTTCTTAAAAAAGAAAAAAAATATTGTGAATCTATGTAAAATCAGTAAACTAGATTTCATTATAAGAGGTATGATGGTAGGCAAAACTTAGATACTTAATTTGCCTTAGTTTTTTCCTCTCTCACTCAGCTTATTATTAGAATCACTGTATTTTAATTTGAATAAAGACTTGCCTGAGACAGCTCACTTTCAATCACTCCTTAATCCTACCAAGTGTATGTACTAGCAAAAGTATCAGCATATATGCATGTTGATACAGCAAAGCTGATGCACATCCTACACCACCTATTGAGCATTATTCAAGCTGCTGTCACTATCTTTTAATTCACAACATTTAGTGGTGTAATATGTTTTTTATCAATAACACATGCTTTTCATTTAAAAAAAAAAATCTTCAATACCTAAACTCCACAATTGATAAACAGTCCATCACATGTATAATCAAGAAACCTACTTTCTATTCTTTAAAAATAAAGATTAGAAACCAAGTTTTTATTCCTTAAAATAAAGATTAATAAACTAAAAGGATTCAAAATAGTTGATCTTCCCTACATGATCAAAACCTTACTATTAACACTTATTCTTCACATGAAAAGAAAAGAAAAAATAAATAAATAAATAAAATTACGAATTCATCCCAATTAAAACAATAGGGATATCTCTTTCCATAAAAAAGGTACTTGCAAAGCAATAGTAAAAGAAATCTAACAGCTTAGATGTCAAGACAATGAGAGACCAAATTTCCATTCATTTCATTTTTAATGAATGCCAATTTCCTTCTCTGCTCTGTGTATTCCTAACAATGCTATTAGTAATAGTACGCAACAAAAGGCCATTCAAACCATAAAGGTAATTTATGACATTTATTCTAGACTACATGAGCAAGCTTTTAAAAAACAGAACCTGAAAAGTAAAAGGAGACAAAGCTCATGAACTTGAACTAGACAGTGATATGAGAACAATACATGTCATTAATGTGAACCTACAAAAATTACTGTTCTCATAAGGTCTTTAATCAAGTTCAATGAGTATACATCTTTTCTTTCCTGAAATAAGAGACTTGTATTGAAATGACAGCAATGCCTCTCTCAGGCTTCCAGTACAAGACCAGAATTATCACAATAAATTACATGGCTAATTGCAATATTAGCACTATACACAAAATTGACCTATCTTTGGATATACTAGTGTCAAAAATGACAGGGGATGCAACTCCAAACGATGGGCTGTGCAAGGCAGGTGCTGAAAAAGAAAATAAAACATAAAGAATATCTGTTGCCTCCTTTTCAGAGATATTCATGACAGACTAGACCTAATTGATATGGAATGAATTACAAATGTAGTGCCTCAGTGAAAAAATTATCAATATGACATTCCTCCATCTTATTCCCCACCATTATCAAAGACTTGGATGAAAACCAAACAAACCGAAACTTTCTGCTTTCTGTCTCTCAAACTGTTAGCTTTCTCTGTAAGAATTTGAGAGAGTACATTCCCTGGAGCTGCGAAATGTTCGATGACCTGAAACCAGAAGTCCACAGACACTATACAGAACAGTGACAACTTACCTTGGTGTTGTCTTACCACAGCACTCACGCTAGGACCTTCACTTGCCTACGATGACGACCGGGATCTTCTTTTCCATTTCTTGGGGAGTGACACAGAGGAACTACATGACCGTGAGCGGCGACGCTTCTTCGATCTCTTGGGTGTTCTTGATGTAGAACGTGACCTAGAAATATACCGGTCCTTCTTGCGTCCATAGTCCCTGCTACGACTTCTGCTACGGCTGCACGAGTGAGAACGTCGTCTGCTACTTCTGCCCACTCTGCTATCCTCACTACCATCTCTAAAACTTCTACGATGGTCCCTCCCCCGAGACCTACTGCTGTGACGGTATCCTGACCTGCTGTCATTACTTCTGTCTCTACCTCGTTTCCTATCCCTAGATCGACTGCCCTTCCTACCTCTAGATCTACTTCTATGTCTATCTCTTGATCTCTCTCTATTTCTTCCCCTTGATCTATCCCTACCCTTAGATCTAGATCTATCTCTGCTATATCTTCTCCAGGATCCTCTCTCCTCACTTGGGCTGTGACTCCCATCCCTCCTCCTCCTGTAGCTATCCCTACTCTTACTCCTACTTTTGTACCTACTATATTCCTCAGAGCTCCTACTTCGACTACGGCTGATCTCTTTCCGTTTCTTCTTCTTTTTGTGCTCCCTTCTTTCTTCCCTATCCCTACTTCCTGACCGACTCCTCTTCCTCCCCTCCCTTTCCTCACTTCTATGCGACCTCTTAGAGCTCTTCTTTTTATCTTTCTTAGACTTCCGCCTCTTCTTTTTCTTCCCCTCACTAGAGCGGGAATGATCACTAATGGAAGATTTTGAATCTTGTTCTGAATCTAAGCTTTGACCTGAGTCTTTAGAGTCATCATCTCCTTTAACAGAGCCACTGGGAGTACCATTGTCAGGCTGAGTTGAGTCTACCTCTGGGTCTTGGGGCGGTACAAATTTCATTGGTTTTATGTTTCCTGTGCACAACAGAAAGAAAAATTATGATTGTTAATGCAATTTTAATAACTGAAACCTAAGTCAAAGAGATCTTTACATTATCCCTTCATTATTTCTCAAAAAGAAATAATACCAATTATACTAAGTGTCTCATTTGCACTTATATGCATGACAATCACCAAATTAGTCATTAACCTACCCACAGCTGCAGGTGGATTCTTGTCTTCATCTGAGTCCTCCTCTGGTTTTGTCTCCTCCCCATGCTTGTCTCCCTCCCTGTCTTTGCTTGCCCGTCTCCTCCTATCCTCCCCGGAGACTTGCATCAACCCCCCATCCACCTTGGAGTCATCCTCAGAGTGGGACTCATGTTGGACATTGTGTTTCCGGCTTCTCTCTGCCATCTCCTCAGCATGGAGTCTCTGAAGGATCATCCTCTCCGTGGCTTGGAAGTCCCGTCGCTTACGCCTGATAGTCTGCCTCAGTTCCTCGTCACTGTCAGTTTCACCATGCATGCCGCCTCCCTCACCACCAGATCCATCTCCATCGCTTTCACTATCGCTGTAGATGCCTAGCCCTGAAATACAACATTCTGTTATCCTCATATAATGTGGTGCTAGTGACTATTTCTTCCCTTGTTTATGAAATTTCCACTAGCTTAAAAGCACATGGTTCCCACCCCGTTGTCATCAATTGAATCAGGGTCCCATCAACCCTGTCCTATCTACATTTCAGACCACTGAAATGTTTTAAAAAAATAGAAAAAAATACACTATGCACTTTTCTTTTCCAACCCCTGAAGACAATCCTACTGCTTCTTTCCCCCCTAAAGAACAATATGTTTATTCCATCCCATTTCAAATGCTCAAGGGACTTAGCACAAAATTTTTCAAGTGGAACAGCATACAAAATAAGAACTCAAGACTTCTTACTGATGGGGAAAATGAGAAAGGGAACAAGCCCATAGCACCCAGCTCCATTGCATACACTTTTCATTTATCATAAAATGCACTTTGTAGAGTTTAAAAATAAATAAATAAAAAGCAACTATGCTAGGCAACAGAAAAGGTTGGTTTCAACTTACCAATTCCGCCCGACAAAGAGGCAAGGGCTGAGCTCTTCTTCACCTGAACTGCCGGAGCTTTAGACAAACACAGGAACTTTAGTGGTGTTGCGGGAGACCCCCGGCAGACCAGCCTTACCACACTAAGCAGATACAAGCTCTCACCTCTATAAGGGAAGTGACTGTTTATATCAAGAGGAAAGAGGCCACCCACACCACTTATCAGCACTAAAGTTGGTGCTCACTTCACAACTTTTAAGGTCTCATTTGAAAGGGGATCTTAAAACTTGTTCTGGCAAGGTTTTAAGTCTGGAAATTGGAAAATGGTGAGACCATACACAACTTTTCCTATGCAGTTCAAGGCATAGTTCACAAGCCATTATGGTAATGCAGACCTCTCTCTTATTCATAACATTTCTAACCAAACCCTCATTCCATTAATCTACTTTGGGGAAAAAAAAAAAAAAAAACAGAATTACATCTTTGAGAATCTAAATTGATTAATAATTACGCTTTAGAATTTAAGTACAAATGCTCCTTCCAAAGACCACAAAGTCACAACCAACGAGCACATCATTAATTACTTCTTTTTCAGCATTAAGATTCCTCACTGAATCAGCAGAATAATGACTTTACGGTATCCCAAAACGACTGCTGAGAGTCAGGCTCTGCAGTGCAGAGCTACAGTACTAACAACCCTGCCCACACAACTGACACCAGTGAAAGGTGTACCTTTCATACGAGCACGATTCAACACTTCTGATGCAACCTCCTCCATCATTTCTGTAGTAACGTCCAGTAAAATTTCTGTCATCCAACGTCGCAATTTTAGCATCTGAAAAAGAACAAATACATATATACACACCAGTTCTATCTAAATTGTTTTTTTATTCCATGTACATTACATACACTAAAATGAAAACAGTAGTTCTATTTTCTTCTCTAATAAATGATAATAAAAAAAAAAAAAATACAGAATTACATCTTTGAGAATCTAAATTGATTAATGATTACGCTTTAGAATTTAAGTACAAATGCTCCTTCCAAAGACCACAAAGTCACAACCAACGAGCACATCATTAATTATTTCTTTTTCAGCATTAAGATTCCTCACTGAATCAGCAGAATAATGACTTTACGGTATCCCAAAACGACTGCTGAGAGTCAGGCTCTGCAGTGCAGAGCTACAGTACTAACAACCCTGCCCACCACAACTGACACCAGTGAAAGGTGTACCTTTCATACGAGCACGATTCAACACTTCTGATGCAACCTCCTCCATCATTTCTGTAGTAACGTCCAGTAAAATTTCTGTCATCCAACGTCGCAATTTTAGCATCTGAAAAGAACAAATACATATATACACACCAGTTCTATCTAAATTGTTTTTTTATTCTAAAAAAAAAAAAATACAGAATTACATCTTTGAGAATCTAAATTGATTAATGATTACGCTTTAGAATTTAAGTACAAATGCTCCTTCCAAAGACCACAAAGTCACAACCAACGAGCACATCATTAATTATTTCTTTTTCAGCATTAAGATTCCTCACTGAATCAGCAGAATAATGACTTTACGGTATCCCAAAACGACTGCTGAGAGTCAGGCTCTGCAGTGCAGAGCTACAGTACTAACAACCCTGCCCACACAACTGACACCAGTGAAAGGTGTACCTTTCATACGAGCACGATTCAACACTTCTGATGCAACCTCCTCCATCATTTCTGTAGTAACGTCCAGTAAAATTTCTGTCATCCAACGTCGCAATTTTAGCATCTGAAAAAGAACAAATAAATATATACACACCAGTTCTATCTAAATTGTTTTTTTATTCCATGTACATTACATACACTAAAATGAAAACAGTAGTTCTATTTTCTTCTCTAATAAATGATAACTTAGAAGATACTTGTATTTTACAATCTAAAAAATTAATGTACAAAAAAATATTAAATGGAAAAAACTTACTATTAATAAAATTAATTTCTTTAACAAACAAATGACCACTAAGTTATAAATATAAATGCAAATTTTATGGTAGGGGATTCCTGCTATACAGATATAAATGCAAGAGTACCTTTATTTTCTAGTCATTTACCTAACCTCCAAATATACAACAGGTATGAGTGAAATATTGTGATGTCATAACTATGAAAAAAAAAAAAAAAATTGGAATACATTCAGGATGCCATCTTCATATCATGTGCAGTTGAGACTTCTTTAAGTTGTGTCCTCTGAAACAGCCCCTAAAAAGTAGGCTTAAACCCTACTTTTGAGGGGTTGAAACCAAGAGTCTACAGACCAGAATAATTTTATGTTTCCTGAGTTTCTGATTTTCTGCTCAAACTGCTGACTCTGCATGCACCCAGATGCATTGTTTGGCATTGCACTCCATTTAAAGTTTAGGGTCTAAATGTATGAATCTATAAACTATGAGTTAACCTTCTCCTAATTACCATTTCTTGCATCTTCTCCTCTTCTGACTTTGCAGGTTCAGGTGAAGGCATTCTCCTACTAATTTTAACTTCCTCCTCTTTCTCTTCAGTTTCCTCTCTACTGCCCCCATCTTCTTCTGCCCCCCCTTGGCTGTTCTGGGGAGCAAAGCGAGACCGACGCTTCCTGGCCATGCCCAGACCAGTTGTCGCAGTCTCTGGACTGGCTGACCTACTATGGTCTGACATATCACTGTCACTGTCCTGGAAAATAAGGTCATGTCTTGTATATGTCCTTCATCTTTTCTAGCTTCATTTAAGAATAAACAATATATTTCATCAGACAGCAAAAAGCCATTCCTACTTACAAATTTACTTTTCCTGGGCACACGAGGTTTGCCATCATTTGCGAGATCTTCCTCTAGGATACGCCGTGCTCTGGCTTCCTCTTCTCTCTTTCTCTTCAGCATCTCCTCTTTCTCAGACATTTGCCTTTCCTTCTCTAACTGTAATGAAAAACATTTACAAACTTTTTACCTCAGTCGCTATTTCTTGTTGCTATGCACAAAACACCCTAGTCTGAAAAGTCAGTTCTTCCGTCTTAAAATTCACAATCATCTTGGTTCCTACAACTCTGCATTTTTCTACTGTACACTGAAATCTTTGTATAGAAACCTTTCACCTTACTAAAAATATCTGCATTTAAAAAAATAATAATTAGTTATCTAGTAATACAGAGTAATTCAAATGAAAAAGGAAGGGTTAGAAATTAAAATAAATTGAACCCTTAACTTGGTATCCTTCAGAGACTAGATAAAATCCTCTTGACAAAACAGCAGATAACTAAGGACCTAAGCCCGACTCTATCCGTACCTTTCTCTGCTTCTCCCGTTCCATCTTCTCCAAGCCCTCTCGAATCCAGGCTGGCAGCTTCTTCCTCTGTGCCGCATCAAGCTGGAAGTCAGCCTCCTTGCCCACCATGCGGTCAGGGTATGTTGGTCCCACTTGGAATTCTCGGCCTCTCCTGTCCCTTCGATCGTTCCTCCCATACTCTCCCTGCACTCCTTCTGTTCCAACAATAGGCCACCCATATTCACCCTGTTTGGAAAAAATGAAGAATGTCAGCTACTCTCATCAATCCTGGGTACAATGCAGACTCTGTGCAGTTGTATCAAGAGGCAAATCTGTGTTGCAACTAATCTAAAACTATAACGTTATAATTTTCATAGGACAATCCATTGTCTCACAAAGTCTTAGATCACATATCTAATGTAAAGACAACAATTATATTAATTCATCTACACTTGAATATCTCATTCTCTGCATAGTATCAAGATTAATCAAATACAGAATTATCAAATAAACATCAAATATGCACTTACGTTCAGACAATCCACCTTGACAAAGGCACTCACCTACAATCCTTTATTCTTGTATTTACAAATATATTTATTTCCAATATACACATCAATTATATCAACCTGTCCTTTAACATGTATTAGTCTAAGTTAACCATTTATAAGTATAGTCTGCTCCCTTAAATGTTCTTCACATTACTAGCATCACCTCACTTAACTTCAGACACCAGAAACCTTAGATACCTTCTCAATAAGACATCATATAAAACATACAGGGAGAAAGAATGATGTGCAAATAAGATTGGCTATCTGGGCAAAGCACACAATCAATATAAAAGAATAACAAGAGAAAAAATGTAACTTGCTACCATGAAATTTAGCAGATTCACATATACATGACATATATAAGTCTTAAAAATAGTATAAGTGGATAGTCTTTATTTCTAATCACAAGAACAACTATTGCCAATACTCCTACATGAATCTACAATAATAAATTCAAAGAAACAAAATATAACAAATATATTTGTACATGGTTTTCATGTAAAAAGATATCACCATCTCTTACTTGTGTTTAAAACTGGCCAAAAAATAAGAAAATCAATATCTGTGACCCTCTGTGTATATGACTCCCCTTAAGAGTATCTGCAATTCATCTGAAACTTGCTGTACCAACAAAATCATAACTCTGATATCCTACAGTTACCAAGACCAAGGTTGAGGAACAAACATCAAAAGCGCAGTGCTGGTAGCGATGAGGAGCCTCAGATACCTACCTGCATCTCCATGCCAAGGGCTGCTGAAAACTCATTACCATACATGGTGTACCCTGCCTGGCTTACATCTTTTCCGCTATAATGCTGTTGGGCGTTTATGTCTTGATTTGCAGTACTGCTCTGGGAGTATGCGTCAACAGGCCAACCCCAACCCCAGCCCATTCCAGTGGTGTGGGTGGGTGGCCAGTTTCCCTCGCCATTCCAACTCCCCCACGATTCTCCTGCGGCAAGAAGGAGAGTTGTCAATTTACCCCACACTTGACTAGCAATGGATTTTAATACCCGTGAACTCCTTTTTTCCATTTCCATTTTATCAGAGACACCTTCAAGAATTCTAATGCAAAATCTATTTCATTCATCAAATCTTGCTAATCTAGTGGCTCTCAATTAAATAATATTCACCACATTCACTACATATTTTGCAAAATCAAATCTTAATTGAAAGATTAATGATATCAAAGGATGAAACAGTTCATGTTCCTTAATGTATGTGAAATGATCTTTTTTAACAACTATTAACTTCTATAAGCAATATATGAAGAAGGAAATAAAAAAGGAAAATTTCTTCCCTACCATTCTGCTGGTCAGAGCCATTGGCTGCTGGTCCCTTATCGTCTTCAATCTCCATGTCCATCTCTCCTCCCCCACCTGCAGCGGCCGCATCTTCGGGAGGATGCACTTGGGGAGCAGGCCCTGAGCTTGCCACCGGCTGGGAAGGATGGCTCTGCTCCTGGGGGGGTTGGGTCTGCTCCTGTGGTGCTGTCTCCTTCATCTGAATCCATTGCTTGGCAAGTTCAGCCCAGTCAACTGTGGATGCTGCATAATATATACAAATTAGGAAGGTTACTGAATGCAAAATTATTTTGAAATACCGAAAGTGCCAGTAAAACTGATAATTTCTAATTACATTATGTTATTGCACATAGAACTTAAGACAGAAAATTAAACTAAATATTAATGGTACCACATATAAAACTTTTCTCTACTAAGCTTGAACCTAACCTTGCAATATCCAACATGTTAAGAGACATTCTACTGCAAATTGCAACTTACCTTCCTCAGGCTTCATATTCTGGTAGTGCTGGGGCTGCAGGGCCCACGATGCCCATTGTGGCGCACCTGACCACATGGTTCCACTTAATTAGTAACCTGTTAAGGATTAGAAGGTCAAATGTTAAAATTAGAACAATTTGTTAGCATAGTCAATCTCTTTCCTACGTATCAAATAAGTAAGCAAATGCACATTAAGATGACAGGTACGGAGAGGAATATTCATAATTATATGTATGGTAAACTAATAAGGCCCAAGTAATCTTGAGCCTTGACTGTCCGAGACCCATTGACTAGACCCTTTGATTCAGCTTGTATTACTCTGAATACAGTGCAAAGTATAACATCTTGTAATGAAGATATTTAGAGGAGACTGGAGGCTAAGTACCTGTACTTCACAAATAATCATCCCCATCATGATAACTAACAACAACAATAATGACAAGACAACAGTAATGATTTTTATAACAATAACAACAACTAGCAGAGCCTGTGGAATCTTCAAAAACAGCAAATTGTATTTACAAATATATTTATTTCCAATATACACATCAATTATATCAACCTGTCCTTTAACATGTATTAGTCTAAGTTAACCATTTATAAGTATAGTCAATCTCTTTCCTACGTATCAAATAAGTAAGCAAATGCACATTAAGATGACAGGTACGGAGAGGAATATTCATAATTATATGTATGGTAAACTAATAAGGCCCAAGTAATCTTGAGCCTTGACTGTCCGAGACCCATTGACTAGACCCTTTGATTCAGCTTGTATTACTCTGAATACAGTGCAAAGTATAACATCTTGTAATGAAGATATTTAGAGGAGACTGGAGGCTAAGTACCTGTACTTCACAAATAATCATCCTCATCATGATAACTAACAACAACAATAATGACAACAGTAATGATTTTTATAACAATAACAACAACTAGCAGAGCCTGTGGAATCTTCAAAAACAACAAAAAAATGTACTTCTCTCTGCTTATTTCACATTCCTCTTTCTTACTTTCCCTCCAACTCTCCCTTTCCCCATCCTGCTTGGCCAAACTATCTCTCAAAACTTCATTAATTCACTCCTTCCCTCCCACTTCACTCTTCTTCCTCCTCAAATTCCTCCATCTCCTTTGGAGATAATAATAATAACAATGACAGCAACAACAATAATGCATATTAACAATAACAACAATAATAATACGGATATAACAACAATAAAAAAATTGTAACTCAAGTTTACCACCATTATCCCAACTTTGCGATCACATCATCAAAAAGGGTTAATAATGTCTTTTTTCTTTCAAACACTCATACATGTATGCACAAAAATAATTATTTACAGTAACAGTGCAAAGACATAAAAAAACAAAGGATAATCCCTTATGAAAAAGCCCAAAGAACACTTACTGTAAATGAACTTAATCTGAAGAAGTAAAAGACAAGGGCACAATCAGACAATCAGATTGTTACACCTGCAGTGACTCACATTATTACTGTGGCCAGCACACTTGTAAAGACCAATAAAATTTCATCACCTATACTCTAGTATTTAGAGCAGTGGTTCTTAAGCTTTTTTTGGATGCGACCCAAAATCCTGTCCAGATTAACTATATACCTTCATAGACATTATTATTTAGAAATCAAATTTTAAAATACTATAAACTGTCAATGTCTCTATGACTTGTTAACCTTAGATGTTAATGATTTAGGTATTCTTTACACGAGATTAATAACTTGATAACATTTTGACTAGGTATATTGGGGGGAAAAATGTAAACATATCCTTGGCAAGCCAACTTTGGTGTTAGGAACTACTGATTTAGAGCTTGTATATCTCCTTGGTGATTTATTGTCAAGGAACTACTCATACCACAGACAGACAGACAGACAGACAGACAGACAGACAGACAGACAGGACAGACAGACAGACAGGACAGACAGACAGACAGGACAGACAGACAGACGACAGACAGACAGACAGGACAGACAGACAGACAGACAGACAGACAGGACAGACAGACAGACAGGACAGACAGACAGACAGGACAGACAGACAGACAGGACAGACAGACAGACAGACAGGACAGACAGACAGACCAGACAGACAGACAGACAGACCAGACAGACAGACAGACGACAGACAGACAGACAGACAGACGACAGACAGACAGACGACAGACAGACAGACAGACAGACAGGACAGACAGACAGACCAGACAGACAGACAGACAGACAGGACAGACAGACAGACAGACAGACAGACGACAGACAGACAGACGACAGACAGACAGACAGACGACAGACAGACAGACAGGACAGACAGACAGACAGGACAGACAGACAGACAGACAGACCAGACAGACAGACAGACAGGACAGACAGACAGACAGACAGACGACCAGACAGACAGACAGACAGACAGACAGACAGACAGACAGACAGACAGACAGACAGACAGACAGACAGACAGACAGACAGACAGACAGACAGACAGACAGATAGGGGAGGGGGTTAGAGAGAGGGGGATAGAGAGGGAGGGATAGAGAGGGAGAGACAGAGAGGGAGGGTCAGAGAGAAAGAGAAAAAGAGGAGGGAGTGAGGGAGGGTGAGAATGAGTAGGTAGTGGGTAGGGTAACATGCCAATTAGGAAGCATATCTCCCCCACAATTAGGATGCACCTGAGAAAAAAAACACTACACAAAAACAAAATTGTCAACCTTCAAAAAAAATTATGCTCAAAATAGATAAAAAGAATGTACTAATATCCCCTGAATATGGTGAGCTTTCATTTCAATTAATTTGGCAGAGAAAAATCTTTAAAAATGTGACATTTTTCATACACCCCTTAGCCAAAGGTATGGGTAGTGACTGGAAAATTTACATTTTGAACCAGTTACTTAGCACATTTTATTCTCACTATGTTTCAGATGAATAGTTAAGGCCCTGAAAATATCAGACTACCAAAACCCCCATTTCAAAGCTCCCACAACGACCCGCTCATGATGACACCTATGACACTGTTGTAAATAAATTTCACGGAAATGAAATCACTGGATATTTCAAGAATGAAGACAAGTTAAACAGTTTATACACTGATCTCAAGAAATTATCAAAGATATTTGATGCTTCTAATAACAGGATTCAGTCATAATAAATTAAATGCAACGCAATGCAATCAAACTTGAAGCGACACCAACAGGCCATGTGTCACCTTGCCAAGTGCAGTGCAGTTCAGCCAAAAAAAATTCTACTCATCAGAATTACATAAAAATTGACAAGATTAAAGTTAAAACAATATCAAATAGGTCTTGATATCTTGTGTAGGATTTGGTACAAAAGATGATAGAAATTTTTTGTCTTCAATTCGTCCTAAATGTTCGTGCAGCTGACAACAGATGACTACACAGAGTTGAAAAATTTGAAAACAAGGCTGAAGTCCAATTGTCCAATGATATAATTTGATATTAAATTTCATTACAGAAAGACCCTAAAATAGTTTTTTCTTGGGGAGGGGGGGGACTTCTAGAAGCATGAAACAGTAAATGGTAGAAATATGGGCTAATTTTCCAAAAATGACGATCGGGTGTTCCATGACAATATTCATATCATCAGATTTGTTCTTGTGTGATGAGAGTGAATCTGATGACATTCTCCGTCGCATTTTGCAGCCGACAATCTTGATGTGATTTGATAAGTCTCAATAGCAGGGGAGG